AGGAAGTAAGCACGAAACCAACTGCAATTGTGTGAAGCTACTGAGACGGAACGATTTCTGCTAGTGGAGAAACATCACTCACCTTGATTAACACCTCCCCCAAACAACACACACTCAAGAATCAGTAATAAACACGGTATTATGTGTTGAGAACCATAAAAGATCTCTGTTGTTCAAAAATGTATAACTCAAGTACCTTGAAAACACTTATCACTTTAATTATATTTAATATACTACTTTATGGAAAAAAGACACAGCAGGGAAAAGAGAAGTACTCTGCTAATTTGACTACTTTTATACAATGAGTTCAATAACAATCCAGAAAAGTACCAAACACAAATGTGTTTCTTTTTTCCTCTCCAATGAATGAACCGGAAAATTCCCAATAAGGAAATGTAGGACAAAAATCCATTAACAACAAGTATATTACACTCACTATTGTGCAGTTGGGTGCAACTTGTGGGGAAAGTGGGTGAGAGCCTGATGATAATCAGCTTCTGTGCATTAACGAAATGTAGGCTGGGGGAAAAGAAGCCATAAACAAAAAAAGCAGATTTACAGAACTGAGCTAAAACAGAACTTAGAGGGGCACTAGATATTATCTCCTCAAATTCTTTATTTTACAGATGAGAAACTCTTTTAAAGACTCTTGGCCCAGGTGGTTAAACAAGTGTTTGGGAGAAACATCACAGTATTTATTTTAAAAACTTCCTAATTGGACACGTCTTACAATCTTGTCTGCTTGGACAGTGTGGTCCTCTTCTGAGGGGGTGGGTCCCTTCTACTCGTTCATACATTTTGGGAATAGGATTCTCAGGTCACTCATGGGGCAGCTGGACCAAAGGACCAAAGCAGAAGTCATGGAGTCCTGTCTGGACTTCTTACTTCAATCACTGCCCCCTTTTGCCACATAAATTACAAATAACTTGCCTTAGCATTAGAGTTTATTGTGCAATTTTTATTTTTCTTTACTTTTCTAACTGTAGTTTTTGAGACAAGGCTGCTCAGACTAATCTTGAATTTACAATTCTCCTTTTTTAGGCTCCAAAGCAACTGGAATTACAGTCACTCTGGGAGGCTGAGACAGGAGGATCACAAGCTTGAGCCTAGGCTGGGCTACTTAATGACTTAGCAAGACCTTTTCTCAAAATAAAATACTGGGTGCAGTCTCCATTGCCATAAAAGTAAATAAATAATAGACTAATCTTTAAATCCGTTTTACTAAAAATACGTACATATTTATAAGATTTTAAAGTTATTTAACAGAGAGATAGTACTATACAATCAACACAGGTTTTGCTGTGAGATTACTTTCTCCCTGAATTACTTTTTTCTCATTTTGAAGTTTGCTGCGGAAAGCACACAGCTCAGACCAGCCCTGCCAGTTTATACTTCTAGTAAATAATTAACTCCAAAATGGTTCTTGTATAGGAGAAAATGTTTCTTGTCTCTTTGACCACTTCTTTTATTTTTCAAAGCTTATTTTTTTCTAAAGCATAGTGCTTCCCTTGCATTTGAATAATCTATGTAGATGTAAGTCTCACCTGTTTAAAAACAAACACAAAAATGAAAACAAAAATAGAAAAACTATGACAATTTTACCACTTTTTTCCTTCCACCTCTGTTTGGTGCTCTTCTCTCTCTCCCTTCCCTCCGTCCTTCTGTCCCTCCCTCCCTCCCTCCCCTCCTCTCTGTGTCCTCTCTCCCTGGGTACTGTTTATATCTCGCCTGTGCCCCTTGCCTGCGTGGTGTCTCATTTCCTGTACCCCAGCCCCTGGGCTTCCCTCCCAGGTCACAGTGGGCTTCTGCCTGCTCTTAGCCAATGTTCCTAGTGGCAGCCACACTCCCAAAACTGCAGCCTCCTAAGCATCTGGAGTAGAACCAGCCTCACAGCTGCACAACCCAACCTGTGGGAGTCTTAGCAGTTACTGTGCAGGTGTTTAGCAACAGGGCAAGAGCTGGTTACCATAAACTGCTTTTAGAGAAAAAGAAGAAAAATCAGAAAGAACATCATGTTGTTTACTCTATTTTATGTTGGGTTTTTTTCAGACAAGGGCTTGCTTTGCAGCCCAGGATGTCCTTGAATTTGTGGCGATCCTCCTGCCTCAACCTCCTGAGTGTTGGGATGACAGGCATGTGCCACCACACCTCACTGCCATATTGTTTAAAACCAAGATTGATTCTTGTGTGCTCAGAGGTTAAGTGATGAGGTAAAGATAAAGAAATATTTAGGAAAATATGACTGTGAAGGGAGATTATTATGGATGTTGAGAGAAATAAATTATTATTTGACATGGAGCTACTGCCTGTCATCTCAGCTACTAGGGAGGCTGAAGCAGGAGGGTCCCAAGTTTGAGTCTTACCTGGACCATTTAGTGAGATTCTGTCTCAAAGTAAAAAAAAAGAAAGTGCTGGACATAGCTCAGTGATAGAACATCCCTGGGTTTGATTGCCATTAATGAAGGAAGGGAGAAAAGAAAGAGAAAAAGAAAGAAAGAAAGTAAGAAGAAAAAAGGAAAGAAGAATAGAAAAGAAAGGAAAAATGATTTTAGAATATTAGTAAGTCACAGACTCGGGGAAACTAGTTTAATAAAATCCCCACTGGAAAACAATCTAAAGAGCCACTCAAAAACCTGGCAGAGGCTGCATGGGCAACATTAGTGGGTGTTTTTCATAAAGTTAAGGTTGGTTTAGGGCAAAAGTCTGAGCAAAAGGTTTGACCCAGTTAATACCATCAATAACACTTCACACAGCCTATCGCCAAGATCGCGTTGCAGCCGGAATTCGGCAGGGAAGGCAAAGGGTCACTACAGAGGACCTCCCTGCAATACCCATGGAATCACATGGACATGGGCCCATCTGCTTGAACCTAAGCCTCAAATCAGGAGCCGCGGTAGTGCCTGTGATAAGCGGCCACTGGGCTCTGCTTCTGGTGACAGAGAAGTCGGTCACTGCCTTATGAAGCACCCACTCCATTTTTACCAACCCCTCGTTTTTATTTTTGGCAGTGCTGGGGGTTGAACCCAGGGCCTTCACATTCAGCTACATCTGCAGCTCCTTTTCTGTTTTTGTTGGCTTGTTTATTTTGAAACAAGGTCTTACTAAATTGGCTAAATTACTCAACCTGGGCTCAAAGGTGCAGTCCTCCTACATCAGCCTCCTACAGTGCTGGGATTACAGACACAAACTACCATTCCCACTTTTAACAATTTTTTAAAGAGCTCACACACATTCGCTGTTTACCAGACCATATAGCAGGTGTGACCCAGTTCCTCACTTCCTGTATGATGTTGGTGATTCCCATGTGAGCCCCTGCAGGAGGCCTGTGGCTTCTGGCAGTCAGATATCCCATCCATGGGGTCTAGGTTGAGGTCCAGAGTTCTTTACCCCCTGTGTCACCATAAGGACTCCCATGGTGGGCTCACACTTGCCCCCTGCGCCTTCCACACTGTGGCTGGGGCCTGGATTCCTGATGCTCCTGATGCACTTCAAGCACTATGTTTCTCTACCCCCACTCTGTACCTCCTCGCAGGCTAGACACTGTCATGGCCCTCTGCCTTTCATGGCCACAGTCCAATGACCCTCTGCATGCCCAGGAGCCACTGTAATAGATTAAAATACAAATGGGCTGGGTGTGGTAATGCATGCTTGTAACACCAGTACTTGGGAGGCTGAGGCAGGAGGATTGCCATAAATCGGAGGTCAGCCTGGGCTGCACAGTGAATGCAGAGCCAGCCTGAACTGCATAGCAAGACACTAATCAAAAAAAAAAAAAAAAAAAAAAACTAAACTAAGCAAAACAGTATATATAGCAAGAACAATGAAATTCCTAAATTTGGCTTTTACATTCAGTAAAGAATAATCTCTTATGGGAAGTAAACATATAAAAACTATAAGCATTTGATATGTATGTGAATATACACTTACAAATCTTTTCATTACTAACATATCCTTCTAAACATGTTACAACATTATAAAATAATCATTTACTGCCCAAACTGAATTGTGTTTCAGGAACTAAGAATGAATTTGATGGATGCAAACATTTCTGTGTGTCTCTACTTACTACCATGGCAACCTGTTAACCTAAGTTATTTTAATTAGTTCTTGGTGAAGCAGTAAGCTTATAAGTAGATAAAAACTGTTCTTAATAGGCTCATAACATTTAGTATTCATGCCAGTGTTACTATCCTAAATGGTAAGGTGTTTGTGGCATGGATAGACCAATTCATTTTCCATCAATAGTGATAATCTCATCTTTGAATTAAGAAAACGATTTTTATTTAAACCATGTATTGCTTTTTAAGAAAAATAAGTACTTATTTTTGGTACACACATATTTTTGGAAGATTGAGGCAGAAAGATCCCTTGAAACCAGGTGTTAGATGAGCCTGGGCAACATAGCAAGACCCCATCTTGAAAGAAAGGAAGAAAGAAAGAAAGAAAAGAAAAGCAAGCCTGATTTCCCTTTCATGCTTCTCTTAACCAATTTTTTTTTCCTTTCTTCTTTTTCTTTGGATTTCTTTTTCTTTTTTTTAAGTCAGGGTCTCTCTATGTAGCCCAGGCTGACCTCGAACTTGCAGCAGTCCTGTTTTAGCCTCCAGAGTGCCAGGATTACAGGCATGGCTACTATTCCCCTGCTTAATCAATATTACATACCTAAGCCAAAAAATAGATAAATAGATAGATAGATAGATAGATAGATAGATAGATAGATAGATAGACAGATAGATAGTCAAGATTCCCATTGGAAAAAGGAGGCTGCTTTGATGGTTTTTGTAAAGCAGGGCTGAGCCCTGTATTCTCTCAGTGCTGAAAGAAGGCCTTGGAAAGTTTGGGGGGTGGGGTGCGGAGTAGGGTGCTGGAGGAATTGAGCACACCCTCCACCAGAAACTGTTTGCAAAACTGGCCCAAAGAGTTGCTTGTGGAAATATTTAGATCTCCCTCAAAGGCTGTCTCTGCCTCACGCTTACATCACTGAAGTAAAAACAGCCACTCGGTGAGCCGCTGAAGCCCTGACAGCCTCCTCCGGGGACAGTCTGCTCTTTCCCTGCTTGCCTCCTGCCCTGACCCCCAGGCTCCAGTGAAATCCTGTAGGTGAACTTCTCATTAGTTCTAGTCTTATTTTGAAGAAAAATAACCAGATTAAGAAGTGAGAAGACCCACCAGAGATTTTCTAATCCAGCTTCCTGTGTTCTAGCAGGTAAGGGATTTTATGGACGAGGAAAGGGCCCCTGCAGTGGTGAATGGAATTCAGAGTGATGCTGAGGTGATTCGGCTTGGGCTGGAAGCCTTGAGAATGCCTTCAGCGCTGCCTGCTTCCCATGCATCCATAAACCTCTGTCGGGTGTTTTTAAATGGGTTAAATGGATGACGCTCTCATTGCTAGCAATTAAATGTCCACTTGGACATGGTGGAATGATTCTGGGCTTTTCTTTGGATGGCAGTTTCCCCCTGAATTCATCCAGAGGCTGCACAAGCTAATAGTGGAGCAGGACGCATTTGATTTCAATATTTCTCTTCCCGTAAGTAAATAACCTGTGCTTTCACTTTGCAGTTCCCAAAGAATGACACTTTTAGCAATGTCTTCTGCTGTTTAGTGTCCTTTGTGTGCTTCTTGCATATTATAATATATCAATATCAATCCTCAGATCCTTCCCTGAAGTCATCCTATAGTACCTTACAGGCCTTGGAAGGTAATTACTGGTGTGTCCATTCCCAGGTTATAAGGTTATGTATCTGTGATTTAGACAGATCTTCTAATCTCTTAAGGGTTTTGTTTTGTTTTTGTTTTTGTTTTGCATGGGGGAGTGGGTAGCAGGGAAAGTTTGAGACAGGATCTCCTTAGGTAGTTTATGCTGGCCTGGAGCCTTCTAAACTAAGACGGAGGAAGGGCGCGTTCCATTTTTCTGATTTGAGACAACCATCTCCTGCTATTAGGTATTGGCACTCTGGGTTCTTAAGTCTTCCAACACGGATAGAACTTTTACTGTTGGGAGACTGAATCACACCACTGTCTCCACTGTTACTCCAGTTTGGAAACAGCAAATAATGGGACTTTTGGGCCTTCTTGATCACATGAGTTAACTGCTAATTCTCACAATCTCTCTCTCTCTCTCTCTCTCTCTCTCTCTCTCTCTCTCTCCCCCCTCTCTCTCTCTTTCCTGTTTAATATATTTAATCTACTATTAGTCTCATTTTGTTTTGAGAACTTTGCCTAACACAGAGGTTATTGTTAGCCTGGTGCAGATCAAACTGTAGTCACCCAGAGTGCTAGAGTTAACAGCCAGCATGGGACATATCAGAAAGGAGGACTCAAAAGCTCTCAGTGTGTGGGTGCATATGAGGGTTGGGAGGATATCTAGATATAAACCTTAATGCTATATAAAAACTGAGGTTCACAAATGAGTCAAAGTACCTGCATTGATTTTGTAATTAAAACTGTGAAAAAGGTAAGACTCTCAAGGCCAAAAATGAGAGGGGGAATAATTAACAATTTTGCAAAAACCAGAATCCTGCATATGGAAGACGTTTGTGTAGTATAGTGGGGCCCATGAGCTGACCTCACAAGGTGACACTGGACTCCATTTCTCTTGACCGAAATTTCCATATGTCTTCTCATCTCTCTAACCCTCTCTCCCAGTTCATCTTCTCTTGCCTAAATCTAGTCCCTGTGCTTGAATTTGTGATTGTGTTTTCTTTCTTAAAAGGCTTTGATGACTCAAGAGAATCCTTCCCTTAACGCTGCTAATTTTCCAAATTCCTCTTTCTCCTTCCTGTATATACCAAACTTCTATAAGGAGAAATAGCATAGCCACTTTTGTTGAATGTCACTATGTGTCTAGCTCTGGGCTAAACAACTAAAATAGATGGTCTCATTCATTTCTCATGACACTAATATGTTATGGATATTAATTTAATTTAATATAGGAAGGTCTAACACTCGATTGAGTAATGTTTTTCCCAAGGACACACAGTATATGCTGAAATCTGGATCCACAGTTCTTAACCAGTAAATCCCCTCATCTTCTTGATCCCCAGTAATTTATTTGTGAATCCACCATGTTGAAACTGCTTTCCTCTTGCTTAGTCTCCATTCTGCTTGGCCTTGTCTCTGTTGAACATATTTTCTTCTAGACTTTTTGTGAGGTCATATCGATCTCTTTCATTATACAAACATCTTCCATGTGCAGGATTTTGGTCTTTGCATAATTATTAATTATTCCTTTCCTCCCTTTTTTTTGGCCTTGACAGTCTTATATTTTTCACAATTTTAATTGCAAAATCAATGCAGGTACTGTGACTCATTTGTGAGCCTCAGTTTTTACATAGCATTATGATTGATACCTAAATATTCTCCCAAACTTTATTTCGCCCCTAGGTGGGGCTTTCAGGAGATGACTAGATCATGGGTCTCTTACTCTAAAATGCAATAGCCCATGATCTCATTTTATGTAGAAACGATCTTACCTTTCTTTACCATGATCCACTAAGAACCAGAAACAAAATGGAAAATGCATTAATTCAGAGAAGGACAAGGCTGATTGGGGCTGGTCTCGTTAATTAACCTATTAGAGTTGTGCGTGTGACCCTAGTGTGGTAGGCCACACTGCCACAGGGAATGTGCCCCATGACACAACACTCATTTTAGTTATCTTTGTGGGATTAAAATCCCTTGAGTTTTAGTTTTGGTAAGAAAAATACATTTTTCTTCAAACCGAGACCTAATCTCACTATATAGTCTAGGTGGCCTTGAAATCAAATCCTCTTTCCTCAGCCTCCCAAATGCTGAGATTACAGATATATTCCACCAAACCCAGATGGAATACAAATTCTTGCAGATTAAATGAGAGAATGGAAAACATTAAAACTCTAAATTTTTTTAAGCTCTAAAATTTTAAAAACATCTACATTATTGCTCTTTATTTCTATGAAATTCATTAGGAAAACTGCAATCAAGTATCTCCTAAAGTGTTATTTCACTTTTTGAAATTGACTGCTAGCTGTGCTACTCTGAGAGAGATGCTACCCTCTAGGATTTGCCTGGGTCACACAGAAAGACAGCTGAAATCGGTCGTCATTATGTATCAGATAAACGCAGTACATCGAACTCCTTTCAAACGGATAAAACAAGATATGTTGCAAAGCATTCTAAACACACGTTCTCTCTGTTTTTGCCTTGTTAGCAAAACTTTGCTAGTGAACTATCTTTCCTTGTTAAAAAAGAACCCAAAAACCTTGATTTTTATTTCAAGACTGTGCTTTTCCCATGTGGCTTCAGAGAGTATAAAAGAATGAAGGAACATATTTGCAAAGGGAAGATGAGACAAAAGAAACAATCAGAACTACATTTTTATTTAAATTTTAGCTTGGAGTCTTGTATACTTTTGTAATTCAGAGCTTTACATGAATTTCATCATCAAAAAAACTTTAAGGGGAAACAGAAATTTCCTTCATTAAAACCATTTTACTTTATATGTATGTGTTTATATGGGAACAAAACAAAACTGATGAGAAACAGCTGAATGAACATGTGGTTTTAAAAATGTTGCATTATGTAAAAGAAGAAAGCCTTTCAGATTCCCACATCACACATATGATGCTTTGTCCCTATGGACTCCTTAAAAAAAAAAAAGGATATCAAATTCCAAAGTGACTTTGCAGGTGACCCAGCTTCTAGAATTACATTCTATATGTATAGGGGAAAAGTGTGTTGATGGTTTCCCTAGCATACTTGCTACATACACCCACGCACACATTTGAAACCAAATGTTTCAAATGTGATAAATCTAGGTCCATTATATATAAAATGAGAAGGATAACACATGTATCTGCAGAACATCAGGGACCAAAAATATCGAAAGTCTTAAATTTTGTGCTAGCAAAGTAGGTTGTCTTCAAAATGCACCATACCTGGACATCAATGGAATTTCTACAGTTACCTTTTTAAAAACTCTGGGATATTAAAAAAAAAGTATTTAACCAAAGAGCTTTCCTTCATGGGTCACTAGAACTCAAAATAACTGAATTCTTGAGAGCTCAGAGGAATAATGTGATTCCACATAGCAGAGTTGGCATAGATGTGGGCATTTCAATTTCATTCATAATGCTTGAGTTTGCTGCCAAATCTTTAAGTCTTTTTAAATTGAATTAAGTGTCTATGAAAGAATTATGCTGCCTTAAAAGAAAGGACAACTTTATAAGAGAATATTTATTTCACTCTTCTCCCGCTAAGTACAATTTTCATCTTGGAAAATGTTTTAATATATACAAGATAGATAATATACAGCTAGTTCATCCAAAAGAACAGTTTTGTGCTTTCATTGTTCTTTTTTTATACCTAATCTTGTAATCTGAACAACTATTTTGAAGATAATAATATGCAATATATTAACTGGTGTTAATTTCTTATTATTTTGCTTTGAAATTCTGTATTCTTTTTATTCTTATTTTTGAATTTAAAATAAAAAAAAATTTAAAAAGGAGGAATTTCATAATGAGTGGCAATAATGCAAGTGGAGAGGGAGAATGGAAAGAAATAATCCAAAACACAGTGGTTCTAACTGCATCCTGCCTTCTCTTCCCAGTAATCTGTTGTCCATAAAATACTTTGATCTTATAAAATAGAATCAAAGTCTACAAAAAGGCAGAGCAGAAACAGTAGAGTTCATTTAATGCTCAGGATTTGAAATATATTAACCAGATAAGTTCTATTTTCATTGTCAGACCAAATATTATAGCTCAACAAGTAGCATATTTGGTCAAAATAATTGAGGTAAAAATTCATATGTTGGGAATCGTACTATATAAACAGATATTGAAAGAGTTTTAGTGGTAGTTTAGGGTCAAAAACTCCCAGGTTGTGCCAGGCATGGTATTGCATACCTGAAATTCTAGCACTCTGGGAGGCTGAGGCAGAAGATCACAAGTTTAGGCCCACCTTGAGCAATTTAGTGACTTAGCAAGATCCTATCTCAAATGCTAACACTAATGCTAATAATAAAAGGATTGAAGGTTCATAGCTGGAGAGGGGTACCACGTTCATACACTGTATCAGAACTCAAGTAGGCAGTGATCATATCACGATGTTTCTTCAGGACCTGAGTCTCTTTGTTCCTGTTCAGCATGCCTTGCAATAGCAATCCCAGCAGCAGAGCCCAGACAGCGGCCCGAGGAGATCCAGCTGCAGGCCTGTGCCCTGCTCCTAACACACAGTCCTCAGAGGCACCACCTGACTCCAGGGCAACCACAGCGGAAAGCAATTATGATACTGGGCTGCGCTGATGGTCTCAGAATCTGCTTTTCACGGGCTTTGTTTGCTCATTTGCTCTTCCTTATCCATAACTATCACTTGTTATTGGCCATTCCTGTGGAGCATTCTTATTCACTTCTCACTTGAACTGAATTGCTGTACCAGCCTCGTGGTTGTTTTAACTCCCCCCTCAAATCTGTACACTTATGGATTGCAGCCTGCATCTTCAATGCTGTCATTTTCCTTCTGAGCCAACCTGGCACAGTGCTCAGAGGCTGGGCACTGTGCATCAGACAAAATTCAAATCCAAGTTCATCTTTAATTAGTGTAAACAAGTCACTCTGTCCTCAAAACCACTTACCAATCTGTAGATATGTTAATTTTTGCATGGTTGTCAAATGTATGAAATAAGATTACATCAATTAAACCTTAGAATACAGCTAGTGCAGTCCTTAACATGTAGCAGGTAAATGAATAAATGAGTATAATTATAAGTGAATATAAAATTACTTCCTGTTCTTTTTCACTTCACCTATTGTTATCTATTATTTATTCCCGAGGACTTCATCGAGTTACCAGGTCTTGGTCTCTTAGTCTCAGAGTTTTGCAATCCAGTCAAACAAAAACATAAAGTTATAATTAACATAACATAATATAACCAGTGAGAATACTTTGAGATGGCAAAACTATACAAGTACTATGAAACTGCTTTGTAACACAGGGCTTCATAGAAGAGATTTTTTTCCCAGGATAAACAGGAGTGTGGTGGAGAGATAGGGACAGTTATATATACAAATATGAAGGCTTATGCATGTTCAGGGAGAGGAGGTGGTGCTCTGAAGGAAAAAAATAACTGCTGATTTGTGAAAAGCTTTGAAAATCATTATAAGGAGTCTGGACTTTATATAGGCAAAGGGGGAAAAAATGCAAGGTCACATGACATGAACCAAGAGGCTCACGATACAGTGGAAAAAACTGCCCCGAAGGATGGGGACACTTTTGTCCTATCTCTCTTACCCTGGATTCATCAGAAGTGTTCAAGGGGTGGAGAATGATGTGGCCTAACTAGGTCCCCTGAACTCAGTGGGGCTTCTTTCCCTCACAAACAGCAAGCATCACTAAACCCCAGGACAGACCTCTGGAAAGCTGCAGTTCTGGGGAGCTGTTTTCCAGGATTGATCATACAGAAATTCACCTAAATATTGGGTTATTCTTTGTTCTAGCAACTATGAGGTCTCTTTATAGAATGAGAGGAAAGTGACAATCCCTACTTGAGTGACACCTCCATTAAAAGAGAAATGAAATCCTTGAAATGGAAGAAAACAGAAGAATTCAGCCATCTGATTCTATAAACATCAGCTGGTGTCGGGAGGATGAGAGGGGACCGTTAGTGCTGGTAGGGCCTCTATCAGTCCCAGCAGCGCACTAGATGCCTCATATACATGACTTCATTTGTCTTCTCCATAACCTGGTAAGTAGGTGTTTTTGCTCCTAGTTGAATTCAAGACTTGCACTAGCTTAATCATTACTAGATTCTCAAATAGTTCCCTTTATGTCTTTTTTTTTCTGGGCATAAGCACCACACCCTATGTTCTTTCCCTAGTAGATGGTTACTTGTAATTAGTTTCAAGCTCAGTTGAAAATTCTTACTGGAATGGCCCAATAGGAAACAAAAGAATGTTATATTGAATAAGGATGAAGTAACCAGATTTTATATTTTTAGACTGGATGGGAATTCTGGCTTATTCATCATTTTAGGAGTAATTTTCTTTCATGGCCCATCACTCATTCATTCAACAAATAGTTAACTTTTTGGAACCATGCTTTTGGCTGAGGTCAGGCTCAACAAAAGGTTATGCCCACTCACACTGTGTCCCTGATCATTTTATTCTGCCTCTTGAAATGTGCTAATACAGTGTAACCTTTCCTGTGAATTTCCAAGGCAAATTAAAACTTTTTTCTTTCAAATTAGAGGCAATGTTGGATTATCACATGAAACTCCAGATGCTATTCCTTTCAGTAGGATTTGATGAAGTTTTATTAAAGCTGACAAAAGAAGATTCAGAGAAATACTGTCAACACTACTAATCAGCATTTAATATGGAAGCTTGCTACCATTGAAGTCTTGACAAGTGAAATGGTTGGTTATTCTTGCAATAGAAGCAAAGACACTAAGCCGGTCAGTAATGTGGAAGAAATTCTCAACCATGGGTCTAATGTGAACATCATTTTGGATCTACATTGGTCTCCACTCATATAATACCAAGGGTTGAATCATGATTGGCAGTCCTGGGACAACGAGTGCCAGCAATTACATTTTCTAACATCCTCTGCAAACCACATGCTTCTCTGGGGCTCACTGCCAACACAACTCATATTCCTGGATATATAGGGACATAAATCTCTTTGCAGGAAGCAGAAACCAAGCTAGGTGCTTAAGTAGACAAGGTACTTAAGAACTTAGGCAGAGAAATGCAGTGCCATGCAGCATCTGATTTGCTAATGACAACATTCACTGAGGATTTGCAAGCCTGGGGATCCCTCTCCAACTCTTCAGGTCTCTGATGTGGGGCAGACATTCTGGGGCCTCCATGGGGTCTCTAGGCCACAGACCTCTCAAAAGCTGCAGTTCTGGGGAGCTGTTTTCCAGGACTGTCATACAGAAGTTCATCAAAATATTGGGTAACTCTTTGTTCTAGCAACTATGAGGTTTCTTTATAGAATGAGACAGATTTCATGGTACAGATTTCATGACAAGCAAGGGCGTCAGGATCCCTGAATCACAGGGGCACAAGAGAATCATTTATCATAAAGTATCTGCTAGCAAAACATAAAATTTCTCCTCTAGGCCCAGCGATTTAGTTCAGCGGCATAAATGCCTGCCTGGAAAGTACAAGGTCATGAGTTCAATCCCCGGTACAAAAAAAAGAAAAAGTCCTCTCTTAGAAATTCATGCCCTGGGATAAACTTCCCTCTCTTTCCACAGCTTCCTTTGTGGGATGCAAACCTCTGAGAGGTAGGAATGTACCGGAGAAAATAAGTGGAGGAAAGAATAAAGATGAGAGAGCCATAGAGCGACAGTAGTGGTGGAGATGGGAGAGAAACTATAACCACTGGTTACTTTACGATTCTCAGGGACCAGGCATGTCCATTTATCACTGTTTTCCAGCACTTTGCATAATACCTGGCACAAGGTGGGCACTTAAAAGGGATGTGTTGAATGATATGAATTAGCAGGGCATAGAACTGCCACTCTTCTCCCTAAGACTAGGAACACATTAGAACAAAGGCTCCAGGATGCCCATGATCCAGGCAGAAGCTAACATAGCCCACTGTCATGAGGTCCAATGCCTTGACCAGGTGAAGTCTCTGCTGTCAGTTGGTATCTGCTCACCACCACGTTTGGCCACAGAATGTCTTCTGATTGGAGCATTTAATAGTAAAGCAAATTTGCTTTCCATCCTTGCGTAGGGAGTAGCCCTGGCTTGTCCAAACCTAGAAACAAGCAGTGTGTTCACATCCAAAGACTTCAAAGAACCAGGGCAGACAGCTTCTGATTCACTCTCCCAAAAGCTTCTGCCAAGCAGTGAGAGTCAGGGTGAGGCCACGCTTGATGGCTGCCCTCAGGGACTGCAGTGAACTTGCATGGCAGCCATCCTGGTGGGACAGTGGAGCCAGCCTCCTCTGCTCCTCAAAGAGACATGGCCTCACCCTCTCAACCAGCCATGGAGCCCTGGTAGATCTGTTGTCTGGAACATAAGAGTAGCTAGAGATGTTTTTGTAGGATCCTTTTATGAGGGCAGAGTGTACTTTGCCTCCCCATTTAAAGACCACACCTTTGAAAGTCAGACTCCTGGAGAAATGCTTTGTAGCCCTGAGCACACTAAAAACCATTTGCCTTGGAAAGATATATGGATAAAGTAGTGAAAGGTGCTCTGCTGCTGAATTAATACTTCATGCATCACAAGCAATTTACCTGCCAAAGTGCTAGTTGTATCTCGGTGGAAGAGAAATGAGTGGGGGAAGGAGGCTCCAAATCACCGGCGTGGCCAATGAACGTGAGAACTGCGGCATGTTGAGTGGGAAGATGCAGAGATAATTATTTGCTTATGAATCTCTAAGCAGCCTCATTCACAAAATAGAGAAAACTGTCACTGTTAGTGCCAGATTTATTCCAGCTAGCAGGAAGCAGCGAAACCGAATCAGGTTTCTGCATTTTGCATAAATTTAGTGGTGCTACATTAAGTTTTATATTTTTCCAAAGATGGCATCACAAAAATACCACAAACTGGGAGACACAAACTAACAGAAATTCATGTCTTTATGGTTTTGAAATCCAAAAGTCCAAAACTTATGGGAACTCCACAGATTTGATTTCTTCTGAGATCTTGCTCCTTGGTCTTTTTCCCCTGTGTCCCCAAAGGGTCATAACTGCACTTGTGTGTCAAGGACATCCTTTTTTTTACAGGAATAACAGTCATACTGCAGCAAAACTCTCCCTAAAGACCTCAATTTACCTTAATTACCTCTTTAAGGGGCTCCCTCCAAATAGATTGAAGGACTATGGATGCGATGTCAAAATACGAATTTGGGGGAGGAAACTATCCACCCCATAACAAGCTCCAAAAGGAGGTGATATTTTCCAAGGAGAAGATGGAGAATGTCTCCCAGTACTGTAGCTCTGCATTCACATGGGATGCCAGGAATCCCTTAACCCTAACTCACGTGTGGTAACGTCCTTGTACTCCTGAGGACTTCACGGGTCTCTGAGAACTATGAGAGCAGACGATGATGAAGACATCATTATTGTCTTACCAAGGAAAAGGTGAAACTTAGCTTTGTTTTTTCTCCTCTGCCTGCTGAGCCTGCCTTGATTAGTGAGAGTGAAGTGGCACAGCAAAATCTGGATTCTCAGGCCAAATGCACTGCACGGGAGACCCACCTCTGCCATTTATGAGGTAGTTAAAACAACCTAACCTGCTAATAAAAACAATCATGACAAGGCAAGGAATGAAGCAATTAAATCCCCAGTTCTAGCCAGTACTTAATATGAAGCTCAAAGTCTTAAATGAGCCAGGATTCTGCAAACAATGCATTTGTTAAAACAAGCCAGTCTGCTCATGACAGAGAGTCCACATTAATTCTTAGCTCAGGAGCTCGTTACTTATAATGTAGGTCAAGGAGTTTATGTCAGCTTGGCTCAGTTCGTCTTTGAGTATTATAATTTGCAAATTAGAAAAAGCAAAGTGTTCTAATTTAGGGGGCTCCATCACTCATGGGCCTTCAGTAGGCTCAAATGTACCCTTTGGGTAGAAAAAGAACAAGCCACCAAATTCAGTGGGTTCCACGACCTACATTCATCCCCCACATTTCCACCTAACAGAAAAGGAAAACAAATACAACTATGGAGCTTTGAAAAAATAAAGATTAAGCAAAAGGTATGAAGTTCACCTGTGGGCCAGGAGCTAGTGACAAACATTCTCTCTTCGCTCAGGGTCCCAAGGAAGAAACAAAGCTTCAGGAAGAAAAGGGAGTTTGACAAGATCTTTGCTTTTTTTAAACTAGAATTGACTGAAACCCTCCACACTCTTCCTCCCACTGAAGGTGGAGTGCTTGTTTAGGCCAGTGTCTGACATGTACCCCCTCTTCTTAAAAATCTCCAGTGGCTCCAAGGGTTTTGCATCAACATGCAGCTTCTTAAGCTGGTCTCTCTGGATGGCTGCTCCTCATACACAGGTCAGCTGCCTTGCTGCCTTCTGCAAGGCCCGTGTCCTTCCCAGGCTGCCTCCCCTTTAGGAGCTCTGGCCCTTCCTCTGGACATGCTCTCCTGTGTTATCTTTTTCTCCTGAACCAGAACTCATCCTTCAGTTTCCAGTCCCATGGTCCCAAATGCAGGAAAGACTTCTCTGCTTCCTGAAATTAGGCCGCACCCTCTGACACTAACTCTCATGCAGCCCATCGCTGCCCATCTTCGGCTCTCACCACAACACACTCCTTTGTGTGATGACAGCTTGACAATTCAGTTATCCACAAAGGTCACCAGTGCAGGGACCCTGCCTGTCTTTGCTCATTACAGTGCTTCTTAAAGTCCCTCACAGGGGAGGCACTCAGGTGCCCTGTAGGTGCACAGGAGGTGCTCAATAATTGTTTCTGAATGGAAGAAGAAATTAGGAAAATAAGTATGTTTGTACCACTTTATCCTTTTTTATATATTCTGCTCCTAGAATGGAGAAAATGGCTCAGTGGCAGAACAGGAAATATAAATTCACAATGAGAATAATTGCTCCTTCCTACAGAACTCTTTGTCACGGTGTCATGGTGATTTATACAATGGCCAGGTGAATAGCATTTGTCATCTCCCCTGCTGGACTGCATCAAGGGCCATATTTTATTCCCCTTCAGATCCACTGTATCCAGCACAAGGGAAGAACTTACACTTTCCTCCAAAGGGGGAAAAACACACATAATAGGCTATAGGAATAAAATTTCTCAGCTCAGATGCAAGGGAATTTCGAGCATAGATAGATGGATTAACTCCAGGGAGGAAGAGGAAACGCTCTGATTTTACAACAAAGGAAGAAAGAACAGATGTAGAAATAAAAATAGACAAAGGTGAAGGGATGAGGAGGGGAACATTTGTGCCAGGCACCGGTGTCTGCCCAGTTTCAGCCCGTCACTGGCAAAGTCCTTGGGTAAAGATGAAGGTGGTTGGGAGAGAGGAATGGAGCCTGCAAGAGAGCAGAGATGGTCTGAAAAAGCTACTTTTGGGAGAAAGCCAGACATTTTATTTTTAAAAAAGGCAGGAAGTTATAAAAGCAAGCATCAAGAGCTTCAGCTGGTTTGGCATAAATACATTCTTGAAATTTCTCCAACTGTGCTTTGCAACATGAATACAGAGCTCGAGGAAAGGACCAAGAGGCTGTGTGTTAATAATGCTAAATGGAGAGTCCAGGCTGGGGCAGAAGTCCAGCGACACCACTGTTGATAAAGGTGGGGGGACTCTGGTGGCCAGAAATCTTGATGATGGCTGAAGGTCTGGACTCAAGCCCCTCAAAGCTGTGAGTGGGTTGGGAGTGGTGGTGCACATCTGTAAATCCCAGCACTGTAGGAGGCTGAGGCAGGAGGATGGCAATTTCAAGCCCAGCCTTAGGTAGGCTGTGTCAAAATAAAATAAAAAGGGTTGAGGATGTAGGTCAGTGTGTGGCTCTGGGTTCAATATTCAGTACCACTAAGGGTCTGCTCATAAGAGTTCCTTCTGGAATCCACACACTGTTGCCTTCAGTCTTCACTACAGGCCAGAGATCATCAGCCTGGAGCTGGGGAACCTATGTTAGCATGAGTTTGGGATCAGTGCCCACTAGGATGAGACCACAAGCCAAGTGTTTGAGCCCCCTAAGAGGGTGCAGCTGGGCCTTGGACACAGATGGTGGGCAGCGTGGGGAGGTGATGAGAACAAAGGGAGGTGACGGGCTCTACCCAAATGGGTGCTAAAAAGGCAGCATCACCCCTTCCTCACCACACCTCAACACACAGACACACACACACACAGAGACACACAGAGACACGCACACACACACACACACACACACATGCACACACAAACACACACATCCCTCTTTCCTTTTGAAGGGCCCAATAAGAAAACACAAGTTTCTATAGGAAAGGATACTGAGACAGAGTGATTTAGAGAATGCCACACTTCCTATAAAATGTGGAGATGAAGAAATAAAGAGATTTATAATGAAATGGAATGTGCCTAAAGCAAAATCAAGTCATAACATAAGGCCAGGCATGGTGGTCCCAACACTCAGGAAGTTGAGACAGGAAGATCCTGAGTTTGGCAGCCAGGGTTATACAGTGAGACTGTATCTCAAAAAAGAAAAAATCAGGGAAAGAAAAACAAAGCAGAAAATTAAGAAAGAAGGGGAGAGAGAGAAAAAGAGAGGAGGGAGAGAAAGAGAGAAAGAGAGAGAGACAGAGACAGAGAGAGACAGAGAAAGACAGAGAGACAGAGAGAGAGGGAGAAACAGTGTATCATGTTACTGAGAAGCACCTTTGGCCAAAGTTCACCTTGGCCTGGTCTTGGTATGTAGGGACTTATAGGTGAAGCTGGGAAACTAAGAAACTGACATTGGCCACAAGACAATGTCAGGTCCCCTGGCACTGCTGTGTTGTCCTCAGTTCAAGGAGAAAGCTTAGTTCTTTAGTGAACACAGATACATGATAAGAGATTAGGGAGCCAAACTTGTGTAGTTAAAAAAATGCTTTGCTGTTAGAAGAATCAGGCAATTGGACAAAGGTGACTCAGAGGGCTGGCATCTGCCCAAAGAAGGGATGACTCTCCCAAGGAGAGGAGCCCGGTTCTATGAAGTCCTAGTGCATGCACTGCCACCTATAAAGCCTCAAAGGCGTGAGTTTACCAAATTCTCTGGAGTAGACAAAGTGAATAGGTCCCTCCACATTACAAGAGCTATTGAAGGGATCTGGGAGTGAAGTTCCATGTGACAAGGGCAACAAAGACCTGCTTGGTAGCAGATTTGTAAAGACAGACAGCAAGGTAGGCTGGTGTGAATTCATTCTTTCGGCTTCTTCTCTGCATGAAGCCAGACACCTGTGCTCGGCAGCTCCCTTCTGTCTACCTGCAGCCTCCCCACCTGGCCACGGAGGGGTTCACCATCAGAACCAGGAGCAGAGGATTCTTCCGGAGATGTGCAGTGTTTGCTGGGGGCGGGGTGGGTTGGTACAGGACGAGTGCAGGAGGAAATGAATCTAGTAAAGAAGGTACCAAAAACATTGCAAATGTGATAGCAAAATAGAGTCTGATGTGTTGAACACCCACATGCTTACATCTAGTTTTGTCTAATCAATTCTCACACACTCTAAATGTTTCTGAGAGGGATTATGATACACTTGAGGGCTCCTGGGACTCCCTCTCTCTCCCGTTTCCCTCTATTGCTTCCTCCTCAGAGGGTAATAACCGCCACCCCAAACTGCATCTTTACTTTTCACATGAATGCAGAGTATTATTTTTTAAGTTTTACAAGCTTATTTAAATGTGGCACTGAGCTACGAAAAATCACAGCACTTTGGGGAGGCTGAAATAGGTAGACTGACTTTCACCCCAGCCTGGGTAATTTAACAACTTAGTATCAAAATTTTAAAAAGGGGCAGGGGATGTAGCTCAGTGCAGATGCTTTGGGTTCAATTTCTAGTATATATCTGTTTTAAAAACTGCCTTTGGTTTTTTAACAATACTTCTGTATTTTTTTCAGGCAATATCGTTTTCGGGATTCGTTCATGGTGATAATTGTACCTCAAGTTTGTTTAGTTTATCTGCTTTACAGTATTTGATTGAACAAATAAACTATATTATCCACCTACTTTTTCCATTTATGAGCATTTGTTTCCAGCCTTTTTTTTAATACATCATAGTGCCATAAACATTTCATTCATGTTCCTTTGTGAAACTGCAATACTTATCTTTCCTTCCTTCCTCTCTCCCATCTTTCTGCCTTCTTTCCTTTCTTCCATGCTAGGGGTTGAATCCGGGGCCATGTTATTGAGCTATACGCCCAGCCTTTTTCCTTAATTTTTTTTTTTTTTTTTTGAGACAGGCTACCAAGTTGCCCAGGTTGGGCTTGAATTTGCAATTCTGCCTCAGCCATCTGGAATCCTGAGACCACAGTCACATGCCATCATGCCACATTGTAATGTTTTCCTGAAAGGACAGATCAGAAAGTAGCATTTGTGGTTGGTTCCATTAAAATAGTAATGGTATTTGATACTAGAGAAAGCTTTTATCTGTTTCTCTCATTGCAACATTTCTTGTATCTAGAATACTACTGGAGGAGCAGACACTCCATAATTACTTGCTGAATGAATGAAGGAATGAAAGTTTGGTTTTGCTCACCTGAGCCTTAAGAGGGAATTCTTACTTTTGGTAAACTTACTCATAACTCCTATGAGTTTATTTTATTTTATTTGGTACTGGGGATCGAACTCATGACCTCGTGCTTGTCAGGTAAGCACTCACAGCATTGAGCTAAATCCTGGCCCATCCATACGCATTTTAAACCTACCTTATAAAAATGGCATTAAAAATCTTTCCTCAAACAATCATGATAATACATTTGTCCCTTAATAACATCAAATAGCATGAACAATAGTCAACCTTGGTATACCCACAATTCTAGGATTTAGGGATTTTTGCACTCATTTAGAAAATAAGGATAGAAGAAAATATGGGTATTATATTGTAGAGATGTATGGATATATATATAGCCAGCAGAAAGAAAATTTGTGGTTGCAAATTCTAGTGCTTGCCTCTCCTTGCCATGCACCTGGCAGGCTGCCTTTCCTACCCTTTTACAGACACACCATTCAACCATGACCTGTCCCAGCCAAAGAAAGATGTGACAAGCTGGGCAGGGGTGGAACAGCCTCCACATGACCTTCTTATTGGTCTCTCTTCTCTTTGTTTGATTTACTTGAGCAAGACACAGGCCTTTGCTATGCTAATCCACTGAGATTCAAGAGGTGTCAGGTTGCCAAGGACTAGTTCAGCCTTGCCTAACTGAACAAGATTACTGAAGAAGCCGTTCACAAACAACTAGACCTTCATTTTCCACGTAACTTCAGGACTTTTTCACTGGTCTGCCTCTCTAGTTCTAGGGTCAAAGGATGCTGCTGTTTTTTGGCCTCAAGATAACAAAACGGGGAAAGATTTAGAAAGGGTAACTCTAGTTCGTACTCAGGATAAAGAGCACTGGCAAAGCAAAGTTACACAATCAGAACTGGTACTTTGAAATCCCAGACCCAAGTGAATCTACACCTCCTTCCACAATCTGTGGCCACAGAGATTTAATCTTCACAATAGTTCCTTTTCCTGTGCTCAGATTACCTTAAACCTAACTGGAAAGCCCTTCCACCAAACAAAGGTAGACACACAATTCAGTGCAATTCTATGTTTGGCCATGCTTGATTCTATGTCAGGCAAACACACTGCTTCCCTAAAGTTACTACTTTCTACTGAAATGCTGCTACATGCTTTATTAAAGATGTATTAATAAAGAATATCATTTTGAAAATCTGTGCATTTTTATCTGATTTTTTTTCTTTGATGTTAAATATTATTTTCCTTATTGCTATGCTTTGAGTTTTACTCTCACTTAAATGTGATCATTTATAGCAATTTTCCCAGGGGATAATTTCCTTTCTTTTCATCTTTTTCAATTAAAAGTAGACAGAAGATATTTTTTCAGTGTAAAACCTAAAACTCAGAAGCCACAAAGGCTTCTGTCCTGGCCCCTGGGCAACTTGTCATGTGACAGTTTTGCAAATAATGTCAATTTTTCTATTCTCTCGTTGGTCTAATCATGTTGAATCTGGATCTTGGACTATTTAGGTTAGCATAAAATGTGTCTTGGAAATAGTTGCTTCAGTAAAAGAGGAGTCACAGTTTTGAGCCATGGTGTAATCATAAGGTAAAGAGAAGGCTCCTACTTCAAAGAACGGAAAATTCCACATAAGCAACCCAACTAATGTGGAAAGCTGCAGGGATGAACCTAGTTATAGCTAAATAGAAACCATGTTCACGAGGCAGGTGCTAAAGTTTGCAAATTTCAACAGGAAGTAAAAAAATCCCATGCAGGGTCCAGAATACGTATCATGGCTGTGTATTAGCTGTCCATCTGTCTCCTTTATTAGCTGCTTCACATCCCATCCCTGGTTGCCTGGTTTCCATATTCTCAAGTTAAGTAAACGCGGGTATCTGTTTGCTGCAAAGATACTCAAATATTCTTTGCTTTCCATTTCCTTGGTTGCCCAGATACAAAGCAAAATAAAGACAAAAATAAAAAGCAAGAGAACAATAAGAAAGAATATAATGCAGGGATCACTGGGTGAAAATACACAAAGCGGGGTTAGGTAGAAGCTTGTTCTGCTGTGATGATGGGATTTGGTATTTCATTAAGGAAACAGCAGCTCCCAGACAAAGCTGTGGTCTTCCACCCTGCAGTCACATGCCCGCCTGCCCCTGCATTCACCCCCTTCCTAGTTAGCTTTTGATGAGCTATGGGTGCTACTTTATTTCTCCTGCTTAAACCTGTGTCCCTGACCATCTTTCAGTTCTGTCTCACCAGTACTTACTCCCTTGAATTGCTCTCACTACCAAACATGTTTTATTTTATCCAAGCATCTCTCCATTTGCTGCTTCATTTCTCCCCCACCATTCACAGCCAAATTTCCCAAGGTCTCCACATTGTGTCATCTCAGCAGCATTAGACACAATTAACCTTTTATAACCTCTGCCTACTACCTTGGTGCTGGTCATATCTTCTGTGTTTCTTTGCAGGATCCAGAGCTGACATTCCGCTGCTGTGTGCCAACTTGGCTACGCTGGTGGTTATAATGTGGTGATATATTATTATTAATTATGGAGATGTATTCTGGAAAATGCGTCACTAGGTGATTTTGCCATTGTGTGAATATCAGCATACTTGCACAAGCCTAATAGTAGGGTTCAGTCACTGGACATAGTCTCTTGACACGATCAAGAGATGTGGTAAGCACAAAGTGTTTACAACTGCTGCTGGCATCAGGTGGTATTTGATTTCACCGTAATCATTTTTTTTTATAAGCAAAAGGAATAGGGTTTAAAGTAATGATAGCAAACCTATAAATCAGTTACCTGGTAGGTTACTATTATTATGAAGTATACTGTAATTGTATAGGCTGCATATTTACAAGTTAGTAAATATGCATATTAGTATCAGCACAAACCCAGTAATGAGTTATGCTATAAGACTACGATGGCTATACATTGTACAGGTAAGACCTTATTGAAATGTTTCATCCTTATTGCTAATAGTTCCTACCCTAAGTCACCTTCACCCTAGCCCTCCTATCATCTTGGCTCCTCCTCTGGCTCCTGCTTAAGCGAGCAAGGGAAGTATTAACCCTGGTTAATTGAGTCTAATTGACCAGTATCTATGCCAGAACTTTCTTGAAAATTTGGGATTGTTAATCTCGAGTATCAACTTGATAGGTTTAAGAAACATCTAGGACATTAGTAAATTACACTTCTGGGTGTCTGTGAGGGTGTTTCTAGACATAATTGGCAAAAGAATAACAAGCTACAGGGAGAGACTGACCCTGACTGTGGCTGGCACCATCTTGTAGGCTGGAGCCCCTGATTAACAAAAGAAGAAGAAGAAGAAGAAGAAAGCCTGAAAACACATTTTCTCCCCACCTCCACATCTCTGTCTACCATGAAGTAAGCTGTTTTGTTCCAGCACATGGTGTTCTGCCTCACCATGGGCCCAGAAACAATGGAGTCACCTGACCATGAACTGAAACCTTGAAAACCATGACCCAAAATAAATTTTTTTTCTTTAAATTGATTTTCCTCAGGTATTTTGTCATAGCAATGGATAGCTTACTGAAACAACACTGTTAGGCTGGACAATCTCCCTACAGAAATCAGAAAACTCTTCTTATTTATGAGGTTGTTTAATCTAATCTGTGAAAATTCTGGCAGCTGCCCCAGGGAATTGCTCTGGACTGCTGGGTAGGTTGAACAGACAGAATACTCAACTGTGGGGAAGTTCAGAACCTAAGAGCTAGTATCCACTTTCTTAAGGCTCTTCTCTTACTCCTGCTGCATTAGTACAAGGAAAGAGAGACCTAACACTATTCTTTTCCAGCAGAAATTGTACAGGAGAGGGAATGATTACTGAGGGCACGGCAGGGGTCGAGATCAGGTATAACATGGAATAAAGCATATGTGAGACTTCCCCTTAGAGATGGGTAGGTAGCTGCAGACAGGCAGAAGCTGTCGTAGTAATTATTTCCTCTAAAATTATAATGCAGTACATGTATAGTTTGAATGGGCATAATTTAAAAACTTACAGCTTTTGAAGATTTATTTGTTTATTTAGTACTGAAGATTAAACTTAAAAAGCGCCGACCTATATTTCTAGCCCTTTTTATTTTTTATTTTGAGATGAAATCTCCCCAAGTTGCGCAGGCTGGACTTCAATTTGCAATCCTCATTATTATTGCTACTGTTTTTGTGTGTAAGATGGACACCAAATAATGGGAAACTAGCACTTTGGAGATGGTACCTTTATGGTACCATCTCTGCTCTGTTGAGCAGATATGAATTGTTTTTACAGTTAGTATTTTTCCAAACTGTAAGCAAAGTTTTAGCAGGGAATTCTAACTATTTCAGGGTGTTAGAACAGAAATGACAAGGCATTACATATTCATCTAATAATAAAAATTTATATTTGCAGGCAGTTTCAAAGAAAATCATAGTTTATTTCTAAGAAACGGTATTAATTTCATAGACTTTTAGTTGTTTAGCTTTCATGTACAAATCCCACTGCATTTTACTGGTTTAACTTGCATGTGTAAGTAGAAAATGGATATTTTATTTATTTTACATTTTTCATATACTCTGTACAATAGCTTAAAATTTACATTTTTCCTTTTCCTTTTTTTTTTTTATTTAAGAGGAAAAAGAGAAAAACACAAAACAAACCAAAGCGGCGTAAGGGTACACGCAATACAGAACTACAAAACAAAACAAAACAAAACAAAACAAAAAACCATAACAGTAAGAAATTACCTGCTAGTAGATTACACACTATTTTCTTGAAAATAGTTCCTCAAATCACAGTATCAAAGAACACAAGGTGGACATTCAAACAGGGAGACTGCAAACAGCTGTGTTCAATGTTCCAAAAACATTGATAAAGTCAGCTATTTAACACCCCTAAACACACTTGCTGTTATATCCGTTAGAGCTCTTTTTCTTTTTTTTTTTTTCCCTCTCTTTTTTACAACAAAATTTACACATCTTGGATTTTATTACTCCTTAGTGCTTATTACTTTCTTTGGGGGGGGGGGGAAGAATACAGTCAAATATGGCAAAACAAAGCTGTCAGTCAATACCAAGGATAGACATAGCACATGGTGTAGAACAGAGTACAAGTTTATCAACAATGGTTATCAACGTTGTCCCTTGTTTCCTTAAAAAGAATTGTCTATCTTATTAGATATTATAAAGTTGGACAAAACAGTAGAGAACAAGACCAATAAAACTTAGGCATTGTAAACATTACAGGACCTCCAAAGAAGACAATAGTCAAACCAGAATGGGTATCTTAGTGAATCTTATTGTCTTCAAAGTAGTTGCCTATGTCTTCAAACTTGATACTATCATATAGAATGGAACAGAGTCTAATCAGTCAGAACAAGATCGTGGGAGTACTACAGGACTTCAAAACAAGTTAATAGGAAATCGAAAAGAGTTACTATTTATATATCCTAATTTTTTTGAATTTTTTCTTTAATTAAGACAAACATAAGAAATGACTAAATAAATTTTTTTTGAAACAATAAGGGGGAGATTGAGATAAAACAGGACATAACAATATAACAATAGAGGTCACAGCATGACTGTTTCAATAACCTAGTACTTCACCACCTTATAACCTGACTTAATAGTAGTTACCATAGTGTCTTTTTCCTTGAAATATTTGGGTAAAACTTCATATACTCTAGCTTCAAATATTTTCATATCAAGAAGCCCAGAATAAAGCCTTTCTAATTAATGAGTGAAAACTTTATAAGGCTTCAAGGCCACCTAATGGGGAATCATGATTACCACATATTTTTATATATTTGAATCATTATTTACATTAGGGAAACTATTCGGTATTCACACATGCGAGATTGATTTATTTCACTTATGAGTATGGTCTCAAGCTGCGCCCATTTATTGATAAATATCTCAATGTGATCCTTCTTTATAGCTGAATAATATTCCATTGTATAGAAATACCACAACTTTTTTATCCATTCCTCAGTTGATGGGCACTTGGGTTGTTTCCAAGATCTGGCGATTACAAATTGTGCTGCTATAAACATAGGTGCACATAAATCACTGTGGTATGATGCTTTCAGTTCTTCTGGGAATATGCCTAGAAGTGGAATAGCTGGAATAAATGGGATTTCCAGTCCCAACTTTTTGAGAAATCTCCAGACAGATCTCCACAAAGGCTGTACCAGTCTAGACTCCCAC